CTGATCCATGAGGCTGCCACAACCTCCTCCTCACCAGCTCTTTCCTGCCTCATTACCCCCGAGATCCCTGGGGCTCATCTCTTTGCCAGCCCAGCTCGAGAAGCTTTTCTGAACTTTGCTTTGTTAAAAGCTTTCTATTTCCAGCAAGGAAGCAAGTGGAGGGATTTTATAGCCACCAGGTGACCTAGTGCCAGGGCTGAGCTGAGGGGCAGTAGTTTAAGAGAGGTTCTGGGCTGGCATCACTCAGCTCTGCAGTGGGGAGAGAAGTCACCCACCAGGCACTTCTGAGATCCCTCTAACTGGGGACAGGGACATCAGCAGCCTGGTCACATGATGGGGAGCAGACCCACACCCTGGGAGAAGGGAGAGCACCAAGACAGGACTGAGAATGATGAAGCCAAGGACAACAGAGCCGGCACACTTGTCCAACCACGCAAGAGCAAACACCCAGCACAGCCCGGGCTAATTCTCATTCCAAATGCAGAAACAGCCCTCCTGGCAATGGCAGTGACCAGATGACACCTTCCTCTGAGTGCTTCTGCCTCGAGGCAGCCCTTAGTCACTGCGAGGAGAGAGGGTTTCACAGTTCAGCCCACGCAGAGCGGGACAGGCACATGGAATGAAAACCTTGCAAAGGCAGCCACAGGCACAGCCGGTGCCACACAGCACCTCCTGTGCCTCCCTGGGTCCAGTGGGGTGCAGAGCACCCTGGCAGTCAATGCCAAGGGCAAACAGGGCATTTGTGGCCCAGTGGAGCAGCAAAGTGCTCAGCACAGGCCCAGCTCAGAGCTCTCTGTCTGCCCAGGGATGCACAGGCAGGTCAGGGCTGTTCGAGTTGCACCAGCCACGCTTGACACATCCCCCTGGGGCTGTGCAGCACATCTAATGTGCCTTCTGCAAGGGAAAAACGTGTCATTTATGGTACATTTAAAATTAATGCACATTTGGTGTTCTCTCTGGTCCCAAATTACCCACCACATGAGAGCTGCAGAGCAGAGCTGAGCCTGGCCCTGCCAGGACAGCATCGCTGCTGCTCCTCCTTCCCTCACACATCCACTGACAAATTCCTAAAAAGAAGTGCTTCCAGCAGCATCCTTAGTGTTTGTACCTCACAGGTACCAACTCCTGCTGGTGCCGGGGGTATCTGTCCCACTCAGGAGGGCCTGGGCTCGGCACAGTCTGTCTGGGGGCCACGATGGATCCTCATGGATAAATCTTCATTTCCAGAGCTGGAGGCCCTGGAGCTGCTTCCTGATGGGAAGTGCATTCCTGTCCACAACCCCTGATGGTGGGAGGTTTAAGTAAAAGCCATCCCTGCTGGTGCTGGTGAGTGGTGATGGTGGCTCTGCCAACTACCCCTGAAAATGCCACATTTGTGCAGGGCACAGGTGCCTTCCCAGCACTCAGAGAGCTGCTCAGGCTGCTCCTGCCCCCTGCAAGGGACCTCCAGGAACAACCCTGGCCCACAATTATTTACATTTATGATGTATTCTCTTCTAAAGCTAGGATGGGTGAGTTAATAAGGCTTTGGTTTTGATTTTACTTTTTTTTTTTAACAATAAGGCAAATGTGTTTTGTTTTGTTTTGTTTTGTTTTGTTTTTTGCTGGTGCCCCTGTTTCCCCAAAAGCCTCCATGTCAGTAAGGGAGGGGAGCTGGCAGTGCTGACTTGCCCAGCGTGGATGTCCCCAGGCTGCAGGAGGCTGGACACACCAGCATTCCCAGCTTTCACTCCCAGTGCCCCCAGGCAGTTGTGCTGGATCCCTGTTTCCCAAAGCAGCTCCCAGGAGTGGGATGCAGGTGCAAGTGTGGGTGCTCTGCCAGCTCCTTTCAGCACTTATTTACACCAAACCCCAAATTAGGGCCACTGGGATAAAGGGGGTCAGACCAGCAGCAACTCAGTGAGCTGGTACTTGCACTGAGCTGTTTGCAGAAGGTCACCCCGAGGTGCTGCCCGTGGGGACAGGACTGTCACTGCCAGCTCCAGGAGAGCCAGGCTACCTGTCCCCTCTCCAGGTAGGAGTTAGAGTCCTGCAAACAATCTTCCTCCAGACACCCTCCCTCCTCCACAGCATCCTCTCTCCAGTGGGGACCTGGTTCCCAAATCCCTCCCCAGGGCAGATCCCTCAGGCAGCACAGGCTGTGCCCTGGGTGTTTCTCACCCCACTGCCCACACCAGCTGCTTGGGGGGCTCAGCCCAGGCCCCACAGCATGGTTGGGGGCTGGATCCATCTGCTGCAAATCCATCTGGGATGTGTTTCTGGAAGCTCAGTCGAGGCTTTACCCCCAGCAATGGGCAACCACCAGACGTGTCAGCAACAGGTTTGAGGGGAACATTCCCACTGCAGCTACTGCTCATGGCCACAGCCCCTCGGGACATCACCCTGATCCTGCTGCCTCAGGGTTGGCATTGCCTGGCATCAGGCTTGTGGTGGGAACAAGCTCCATGTCCTCCTCACCTGGGCTGAAACCTTCAGGCCTCAGCAGATGTTTTGTCTCCCCCAGCAAAGCCAAATTCATCCAGCTCCTGGTCACACTTCACCTGTTTGGGAATGCCACACCCCCTGAAGAACCTGCAGGGTGGGTTCCAGCCAAACCAGCCCCTGGCCTGGCAGGACGGTGACCTGGGCTGGGAGAGCTGGGACTGGGCTCGTCCAACCCCCCTCCTGTCGCTGTGTTTCCAGCAAAGCCACAATGGGGCCCTCACTGGGGACAAAGAGGGGTCACAGCACCCACTCCTCAGCACAGGGCTGGTGTCCAAGCAGGCAGGGACTGATTAAAACCTCCAGATGTGGAACTGGCAGAGATGCCCCAGGGTATAGGAGCAGCATGGGGCTGACCCCTCCTGGGATGCAGCTGGGCAGGACACAGCCAGCAGCAAAGCAAGGGGGAAAAACTGTTTGGCTTTTAGATTGGGACCATTACTGGTTTACATTCCTGGGCACGGAAGAACAGATTGGTTTGATGTCCAGGGCTCAGCTCAGTGATCCATTATTCAGAAGAGACTTTCAGTCTCACATCAGAGGTTTGTGTTCTGTCTTCATACATCTCAACTAAGTGCCATTTCCCTGTGGCACAGGGCACAGTGCAAATGGAGAGGCTCTAATTAGCACACTCAGGAGCCCAGTGTTTGTCTGTTTTCTGCTGCTCCTTCAGCGAGCCCAGCAGGTCCCACCCAGGCCCCAGGAGCACCCCTGGCTGCCGGGAGGTTTGGAGTTAAACTACACAGCTGGAAATGAGTGACCTGTTTGAACAGAGGGGAGGAGCTCTCTTGGAGCAAGAGCAGCTGGGTTCAGGCTGGCAGACCCCTCATCCTTCTGGACCATAAGCTGGGGAGTCCATCCTGCCCCGGGCTGGGGGATGCCCTGGGCAGCTGGGCACAGGGAACACTTGGAATCGGCCACTTTGTCACAGCTGGGGTGTGTGACAGAGTCTGTCCATCGCCAGCAGGTTTGATTCAACCTCTGCTGAAGGCACTTTCGGTTTAACTGTGTCCTGAGGAGGCAGATGGCCCAGGATGGGCTCAGTGAGGAGCTCAGTGATCTCTGGGGTTAGTCTGGGCTCCAACCTTATTCACCATTTCCCAGGGAAAGGTTCCTGGACTGTAACCACCTCTAAATACAGACACTGAAGGGCCTGACGTGGTTTTGTCAGAAAACAAAGCTCTGAACTGTGCTGCTGCTGCTGCTGCACGAGGTGTTTGCCCAGAGCAGCTCTGAAGCCAAGCAGGCTTTGCTGGAAGGTGGGCACTCACCTGCACTCCCTCACCTGCACTCCCTCCCAGGCCTGGCCCCAGCTCAGCACCCCCCCTGTAAGCAGCCTCAGCAGAAATTCAATCTCTCCAGCTCCACAGGCAGCCTGTGCCTCCACAAAAGCCCCTGGCTGTTCTACCTCCGCTTCTAAAGCCACTTTTAAGTTTTCTTTGTGAGAATTAATTCTTTGCAATAGCAGGGAACAGCCTCCAGCAACTGCAACACACTCTGTGCGACCAAAATCTGCATCAGAGATCTGGATGATCCTTGCAGGGAAGGTTTCCAATCACTTCCATTCCTTCTGGATGGGCCAGGGGCCAGCCAGAGGTGCAGCCAGCCTGGGTGGTCTCACTGAGGAGGGAGCTGGAGTCCCCTGGGAACAAAACCCTCACCTGGAGCTCTGACACTTGGAAATACCATTTTGTTTGAGAGGAACTGCTCCCTGGGCACATTCATGGACGTGCTCCATCCCTGGAAGTGTTCAAGTCCAGGTTGGACAGGGCTTGGAGCACCCTGGGCTGGTGGAAGGTGGCCCTGCCCTTGGCAGGGGGTGGCACTGGATGGGCTTTAAGGTCCTTTCCAAACCAAACCAATCTGGGATTCTGGAAAACATGAAGGGTGGGTAGAGAGGGAGAAGGCTGTGCCAGGAAAGGAGAGAACATTAAATGCAGAGAACAGGTCACAGTTCTCAGCATTTACAACCACCACAGTCCCTGGTGGTGCCACCAGACACATTTCTGGTCTCAAGGTGCTGCCCAGCCCTGGTCATGCCTGGAGGCATCGCCGGCAGCTCATGCTGACATCAGAGAGCCCAGGGAAGGAGGCAGCTTTGAGGAGTGCCTTCAGTGCTCTGGTTGGATGACAAATCCCTTCAAGGCAACAGCACCTAGAGCTTGTGCTGAGCAGGAGTTTACATAAAGCAGGAATCAGCTTGGATATCCAGCCAAGTGCAGCTGCTGGCAACGACAGATGTGAGACTGGCAGAGCAAGCACCAGGGGATGTCTGAACAGGGTCCAAATCCCACCAACTGCTCCAGCCCCGGGGACAGAGCACTGGAGATTTCTTTCCAGCGCTTGACAATACCTGGAGTGACTCCTGCTGGGGTGAGGAACTGGAAACCCTGCACATTTCTTTGCAAGTCTGACTGAAAACTGCACGTGTTTCTTTGATACCAGCAAAGTTAAGCTGGGCTCTTACTTGCTGACAACTTTCTCATTTAGGACCCAAGACAAAGAACCACACAGACCTCTCAATCCAGCAAAATAACTTTATTTCACAGGGCAAATACAGCCAAGTGGTGATTCCAGAGTTGCCCGGCAAGTGTCAGCTCCATGATCCGTCAGGAAATGTTCTGCTGGTGACTCGAGGATGCAGCTCCACGGCCACCCCTCACAATCATTTCTTAGGTTTAGATTTCAAGTGAAATACATTCAGATTTGCTCCTGTCAGAGCACTGCTCACAAGAACGTGGCTGCAAGTCACTGAGGAGTTAATTACAGAGTTACCTGATTTGAAAAGAAAGCAACGCTGCGACCCACGAACCCCTCCCTGTCTCCAGTGCTGCTGCCCCGGGGCCCTCTCAGCACCCCGAGGGGGGAACACCCCGGCCTTCCCGGGGCCTCCACAGTCAAAACAGCGACTAAAACACAGCAGCAAAAAAATCAAGGCAGCTTTTTGAGCTGCCCCTTCGCCCCCCACCAGCCTCAGGGGTCAATAAACCCGCTCCTGGCACCTGCAGGAAGGAGATGCCCAGGGCAGCCGCCCCTCCCGGAGCTCCAGAGGGATCCGGGCACGGCACGGGCTGTGCTTTGTGCTGGCAGCTGCCAGCCCGGCCCTGGCTGGGGAAGGCTGAGCTCTTGCTTCGTTCCATGTAGGCCTTGGTTTGGTTTTGTGAAGTATTAAATAAATAAATACAGCTGCTGTCAGGAGGGGGGGGTGTAGCTCTGAGCCGGCGAAGTCGGACTGTCCCGAGCTCTATCCCGGCTCTCCCGTGCTGCTCGCCTGGCCCTCCGTGCTGGGCACAGTCCTGCGCTTCCTCAGCTGCATGTCCTCATCCTGAGGGAAAGAAAGCACAAATTAATCCTTCAGCATCCTCTCTGAGCTGGATAAAATCCTTCCTCTTCCCCTCCACCAGCTGGGATAAGCCCAGCAAACAAATCCATCATTCCAGCTCCTCCCTCAGAACACTGGAGCCTTTTTACACCCTCCCAAACCATCCATGTGCTCCCACTGAGAAGCTGTTTGTGCCCAACAGGGCAGGCATCTTCACCTTTCAACCCCTCTGGCCACAGTCAGAGCAGCAGGGACATGGCCTGGCTGAGCTCTGCTGCTCAGGCTGGGGTCACACCCCCTCTCACAGTGCAGGTTTGCCTCGAGATGGACCTGCTGTCCCCCAGAATCAAACCACTTTGGCTGGAAGGGACCCCTGGAGGGTACAGTCCAACTCTCTGCTCTAAGCAGGGCTCACTCTGGGGCTGGAGCTGCTTCTTCAGGGCATCAATTTGCTTTTCAAGTACCTACAAGGATGGATTTTCCACCTTCTCCCTGCACAGCCCTGGGTGGGTCTCAGCTGTGTGTACAGGGCAGGATTTCCCAAAGCCAGAGAGGGTTTCCTTTAGCACAGGTTGTTCCTGTCACCTCTTGGCTTCTTGCTGGACATCTCTGCTTCTTGCATGACCTTCTCCATACCCTCCCTCAGGCAGCTGGCAGGTCCTCCCTTCAGCTCCCCTCCCTCAGCCTCTCCAGCCCTGACCCACCTCAAGAGCAAACCCACAGAGCTGCAGGGCCAGGATTTAACTGTGAGCAGGTTTTTCCACAGCCAGCACCGCTGTGGCACCACTGGCCCGAGCAGGGTGGGTGAGCACCTGCCACTCAGTGTCTGTACTAACAACAAGCAAACTCATTTCTGCATAGTCCTGCTCAGCCAGTCCCTCCCAAATGTTCTCTCAGCATCCTTCCCAACACCTCCAGCTCGCACTGTTCACCCAGGACTCAGCAATGACCAGGCACTCCCTGTTTCCAGGGCACTTCGTACCGAGTCAGAGTCTTCTTCAGCCTGGTTGCTTATGAAATCCAGATAATCATCCTTCTGGTTGTCCAGGATTTCTTCCTCGTACTCGGTCTGGTAGTCTGACTCATCTAAAGAGAGAGGAGGGAAAAAAGAACTGGGTTTAACTGGCAGGCAGAGAAAACAGGGAGAGGAACCTTTGCCTCCACCAAGCACTGGGGCAGGTGAGTGCCAGAAAACTGGCACTCAGTGAGCTGGGACTGCTCAAACACAGAGCCCAGCTCTCCAGCCACAAATATAAACCGTGTCCTCTGTGTGAATTGTTGTCCCAGAGCCCTCCAGCATCCAAGGAACCCTCAGCAAGGGCAGCACATGGTCCATGTCATTCTGGAGGGCACCGGCTGCCCAGCCCGAGGGACACAAACACTGGCAGTGGGGAGTGAATTCCCTGGTGAATGCCCTTCACAGCTCAGCTGCTGTGCCACCCCTCAGTCCCACCAGACCTGGGGAACACCTTCAGAAGCCTTTTATCTGCCAATCCCAACTCCCCTGGACACACACTCGCTGCAATCAGGGGTCCCAGGCAGCTCTTCCTGGTGCAGAATAATTCCGTGTCTCACAGTCACAGGGGACAGTAACATTTACACTCCCTTCCTCCAGCAGATGAACACAACTTAGGAAGCTCAGGAGCTGTGCACAGCAGCAGGACATGCCACCGAGCCACTTCCAAGGAAGGAGACACATCAGTGCAGAGCCAGTGCCTCTCCCAGCACCTGGAGATCACCTGGAGGGTCTGTCAAACAGGCAGCAGGAGCAGCACCCAACAAGGGCATGGAGTGACAGGACAAGGGGAATGGCCTTAAGATGAAGGAGGGCAGGGTTAGATGGGATATTGGGAAACAATTCCTGGCTATGAGGGTGGGCAGGCCCTGGCATAGGTTGCCCAGAGAAGCTGTGGCTGCCCCATTCCTGGAAGTGTCCAAGGCCAGGTTGGAGCAACCTGGGCTGGTGGAAGGTGTTCCTGCCCCTGGCAGGGGTGGGAGTGAGATGACTCTAAGTTCCCTCCCAACCCAAAGCAGGCTGTGGCTCTGTGACTCTCCCTGCTGCCAGGGCTGACTCCCCACAGCAACTCAACACTCAACCAACATGCTGGGCTGGGGCCCATCGGTGGCTCCAAATCCACCTCCCAACACACCAGCAGCCCCTGCAGAGCCTGTCCCACACCAGGTGACACCAGGAGACGTGGGCAGTGAGGCAGAACCCATGGCAGGCAGTACCTTCCTCCTCTGGCCCCCAGTTCTTCAGAATGGAAGTCAAGACATGGAAATGACATTTTAACATTACTGCTGAAATCAGGTCCGTGTGACACCAGCGCTTCCACCCCTTCCCTGAGTTCCACATTCCAGTGTGCTCTGAGCTGCTGAAGCAATACCTGGGATTCAGCCCACTGGTGAGGAGAGTGGCTCGTGTCTAAACCGGATCCTTGATTAAGTATTTCTCCTGGGAGCTGTCAATAGCATCTGCTCCACGCTGAAGACAACAGCACAGTCTGTTCCACAGCCTCTTCTCCCAACATGGTAACTACAACCAACTGCTAAAACATTGGGATTAAAGGCATTTGGTCTTTTGTATTTTATTTTTAATGCTTTTTTTTTTTTTTTTACTGTGGATCAGAGAATCGCTGTTAGTTTCTATGAAAACCACTAATGATAATCTTTGATAAAACACCCCAGAGAAAGGGGGGTGTGAACAGCAACAGACACCACAAACAGGAGTTTGGAGTTTACGCCTCTGATAGATCTGACTGCCATCCAAACCAGGCTCCTTGATTTGCCCAGCACTACTCAGCATTTAACAGGTCTTTCTACAGATACAGAGAGGGGTGTCCCTTCTCACACCCTTCAGGAAGCAGCTCTGGGTGCTGGAGGGGGGAAAGGAGCACAGGAGGTGGCCCTGCTGTCCCCAGACGTCACCTTCCTTGAGGCTGAGGCTCCCACTGACCACTCCTGGGCACCACAAAAGCTCCCAGAAGCATCAGGCAGGACTGAGGCCTTGCTGCTCTGCTTAACTCCCCAACACCCAAACAGCTCAAAATCGAGCCAGCCGAGAGGGGGTTCCACCATGGAAAGGTTCCTGAGCCTGCCCTGAGCAGGGGGAGCATATTCCCTGCAGGAAGGGCACGTTTCCACACCCTGAGAGCTGCTCTGTGCTTCTGTAGCTGGTGGCATTGCTTTCACATGGGCATCATTTCTGCAGGCTGAAGGCAAACGGGGCTGTGTGGCTGGAGGGGCTCTGTAAACCCTGGATGTAAATCAGGAACCTGGGAGCTCAGCACAGCCTCAGGTCCACTAGAGCCTGATAATTGTGTCCCTGCAGAGGTTTGGGGATGTCTCCTGCTTCAGCTGCATTGCAAACCCAGGCATTTGACACCACCATTAATATTTCTCTTCCATAAATCCTTTGCCCCAAATGTTACAAGTGCTTGATATCCTTCAGCCAGCCCTGGGCCCCAACAACCCCTCCCAGGTGGGAGTGTGACCAGGGATGTGCCAGAGACACCCTTGGGGATGGCACCTGTGCTGCCCTGGCCACAGCCAGGGCTGTGAGAAACACAATTAGAGCTGGGGGAGTGATGGAAACAGGAACAGGGGCACAAACACTGCAGTGGCTCAGCTGTGAAAGGAGCTTCTGCTGTGCTACAGACACCTGTGCTCTGCCTGTTGGGTGCTGGGGTCCCTCTGCTCAGCCCTGCCTGGGGGACGAGCTCCCTTTCTTTAATTTTTAGATGGTTTTAGTCATTGTTCTCAGTTTGTTCAAGAGTGGACAAGAAACTCCACTGCCCTTTCCCCCCAAAGACAACACAGCTCCTGCCCCTCCAGGGCTCTCACCCTCTGTGCTGACCCTTCCCCATCCACCAGAACATGAGCCCTTCTCTTTGATTTCTTTAGATCAAGTTGTTGACACAATTCCTCCCCCCATGCTGGCACTTGCAGCATGCTGTCAGAACAGGCAGAGCCTGAGCCCACCCTCAGGAAGGGATTTCCAAGCAGAACAAAGCTTTCCCCTGCTCTGACAGGGCAGTTTCACAGCCCCCTGTCCCCCCCACCCCCGTGGGCTGTCAGGCCACCTTCTCCACCTCCACCCTGAGCAGACCAAAGGCTCCCCCAGCACACACAGGGAGCCCCCTGACAGCCACGAGGCCAGGGAGGTGTCACCCTCCACCTGCTTCCCCCCTGGCTCCAGGGACCTCCTGGGCAAAGCAGTGCCATGCTGGAGGCTCTGTGTGTGCAGGGGAATGTCACCACAGCCTCTGCCACCCAAAAACGGGAGCCACCCACCGTGTGAGCACAAAGGATCCTTCGTGACACGTGAACGACTCTCCCGCCACCCTCTCCCTCCTCTGGGCTCTCCTCAGCCAACGCATTCCAGCATCCACGAGGAACACCTGGCACCTGCCCACCCCACCCTGGCCCTGGCAGCCCCTCCTCAGCCCAAAATGTGCCCCACCTGCCTTCTGAAACACATCCCTTGGCTCCCCTCGTGCCCACGGCCTCGCCCAGCAGAAAGCAGGATGTCCTAACGTGGGGAATAATCAGGAACTGTCTAAAGCAGGAGGATCTGTCCCAGTGCACTGGTTAAATCTTAGCAGGTGTCAGTGCCTGAGCCTTAAATAACCACGTTCCATGATCTCTTCACTCTTATTCACAATGTCTGCTTCAACCACATTTGATTAATATTTTCTTCATAAGGCATATGATTGTAATTAGCATTTCAAATTACCACAGGGACATCTCTACAAACAGTCACAGATGGGAGCACTGCTAACTTTAGCTTTCCCTCTGCAGGAACGAGAATCAGGAGGAGGGGAAGAGACTGTTCAGAAAGAGCTCCAGCCCTGGTGACACACTCAGGGGTTTCAGGCCTGCAAAGCTCTGCTCCTTTTTGGCTACAGGAGCTGCAGTTATGGCCCAAACAGGGAGCTGCTCTGCAGGGCAGGGCTGGCACCGGGCACTGCCTGATGCAGCAGCTCTTACCTGCTCCTCATTAGTTCACTGGTGCTCCCCTAACAGGAGCACACAAAAAGCAATGGAGCCAGTGAGTCACTCCTGATCCTACTCATGACAGCAGGGAAAACATCCTTCAGGCAGAGCTTTAACTCAGGCAGGGCTTTAACTCAGGCAGGGCTTTAACTCAGCCTCTTCCCCCTCCAAGGGGCACAGACCGAAGGGCAAAGCCATGGCAAGGACAGGCCCAGCCCAAGGGGGATGGAAGGTCATCTCTGCATGAGTTACTACACATGTTGTCTCACTCAGATGAGACCTGAGCAGGGATTACTCCCACCAGGAAGCCAGGCTGGAGCACACCAGTAACGGGCTGACAGCTGATGTCTTCCCATGGAAGGACATCCCACATCCCACTGCCAGCCTTTCCCGGGGGAGGCGGTGGGAGGGGGACATGGAGGGTCTGGCCTGGGCACAGTTGCAGGAGGGGCTCTGAGGGAAGCAGGGACAGCCCACCAGGGCCAGCAGTGCCCAGCAGGGCCAGCCCACCAGGTCCTGCAGTGCCCAGCAGGCACTGGCACTGGCAGCCAGTGTCACTGTCCCAGCTCAGAGCACGGGGAGGTGAAAGCAGTCAGGAGGCACAGGAGGAGTCAGCAGCCATCCATCCATCCATCCATCCATCCCTCCTCCCTGCCCTTCCCAACACTCCCCCAGCACCAGCAGATCCCCCCACTCACCGTCTGCCACAGGGGCTTTCACGGGCTCGATGCGGGACACGATCTCTGCCAGGTCCGTGAAGGAGGTGGTGGGACAGGTCACGTTCTGAAACACAGGGACAAGTTCTGGGTGTGTTAACAAAGGTACCCAACAAAATCCAAACAACTCAAGACTGTACAAAAATGACATTGAACAGACAAAGCTCCAGACACATAAATTCTCCACAACTGCCCCCTCAGAAACCATTACTCATCAGTGAGAAATCCTCAGAACAGCTCTCCTGATGCAGGGCTGGTGGTGGGGATGGGATTCCCAAATGCCAACAGTGGGACACGCGCTAATGGCTCCTATTCCACCCATGCAACAAGAAGCCTCATTAAAAATTTACAGCAAACTGTAGAAGAGACCCCAGAGACAAGAACCAGAAGGTCTGGGCCCCATGACAGATGATGTTTGTGCCACTTGTTTGTCCTCCATCCATCACTGTCACTTTATAAGGACTGTCTGGGCCAAGTGCAGCCCCAGGGGGGTTTTGCTTTCCCTTGGGAGAAGGAGCCCCAGAGCCCAGGTGGGACACACACAGCCCTCAGCTGGGGTGATGCCACGAAGGCTGCATGGACAGTTGGGCACTGGGGTCACCAGCACCCCCCTGGGGATCCCAGTAAGCCACAGAGCTGGAGGTGCTGCAGCAAGAGCCTGAGGTACTTGCAGAGAGACACATTTCCCACAGTAATTCCTCTTTCCAGTAAGCCCTTTCTGTTTTCAATCTGTCTCACCCAAGCAGTGGGCTGAGTGTTCTCTGTTTTGAGAAGTCCCTGATCCAGTCTCTCCTCTGAGAGGGACTTTGGAATTTAAGAACTCTTTTGTTTTTCCTGTATGCCATGAGTGGCCCCACCTGCTCCTCGGGACCAGGCACAGGATCACCAGTGGACACCTGAACACCTCTCCCCTTTTTTAAACCCAGTGATTTTAACGATTACAACACCAGCCCCCAAACCAGAGGAATGGGATGGGAAGAGCTGGCAGAGGGAACGTTACTGACACTGGGAATTCATCCTTCCAAACACCCAGACCTGCCCATGTGCTTCCAGGCAGAGCAGTTTCCTAACACAGGGTTTTCTGAACAATTCTTTGCTCTTCTGGCTAAAGCACCAGTCCTATGAATCACACAACCCCTGTGGGGTCACAGCAGCAGCCCATTCTGCTGCAGCAGAACTCTCTCAGTTGACCTTTCATCCGCCACTGACTTTTGATGTCATTCAGAGCAGCTCCAGCACCGTGTGGATCCAGGACAAACAGCAGTGCTGGGCAGAGAAAAGCCCACAGGGAATGAAAAGGGACCTGCACGAAATGGAGCAGCAGCAGCTCAGGACACGCTTCCAAACACAGAGAGCTTGGGGAGCTCAGTGTGGCCGTTACGGAGGGTGAGTCAGCCCAGGCTCATTTTGAACGTCCAACCTGAACGGTCCCAGGGCAGCGTTTGCAGAAGGCTCTTTCCCAGGACAGGGGAGAAAAGCTCCTTCATCTTCAGTCTGTGCCATATGACTACATGATTCTGGAAGTGAGGGACAGGGGCACCCTCTGGCCACCACACAGACCCAGCGATGTCCGAGGCCACCCCAGGACTCTGAAATCCAAGGGGACGAGGTGGTGGCACAGAGCACTTGGGCAGTGTGACCCTGGGAGCAGGCAGGGACTGGCTTTGGATGGGACAAAAGTCCAGGGCACTTTATGAACAGCTGAACAAAATCCTGTAGGAACATCACCAGAAGGTGCCTCGGGAAAACCCCCACCAGCTCCTGTGGTGAGGACTGACAGGAATGAAGTGTGGCCAAACCCACGGGAGCATCTGTCACCATCACTGACACGCAGATGGTCCCAAGGTCAGCCTGTTAGAGGACACTTGGGGAGGCAGCTGCACCCAAAGCCTCAGCACTAAGACTGGGAAAACACTTGTGGGAACCAGGTGCCTTCCCACACCTGCCTGATGCTTTCCAAACAGGAATTTAATGTTTAAGTGCTTCCTCTCACTGCTTTTAAGGACAAAACCACCCTCCCATCAGATAGCACAAAGCAAAGGAGTGTCTCAGATCCACCTGAAATCTACTCTCAAACCTTTCTGATATTTCTTTTTTTTTTTCCCAAGGAGGAAAGGATGCTCTTTGGCACAATCTTTAGGAAATAAATTAGAGGAGAAAGGCAGTTACTATTGTAGTCTACTGGATTATATTTAGCTTTCACTATGAATAACACCTCAGTAGACAAAACTTCCCCAAGGAGATCCAATTAACAGTGCTGCAATATCCTGTGCTGGGGAAGAGTAAGGGCTGCTCAAAGTGAGGTTTATATAAGGTTCCCGTTGTTTATGTCTGCAGTATTTGCATTTTGGAGGCAAGATAAACAGGGGCTGAATGATCAAAGCAAAGGAGAAGCATCTAAATGATTAAATATCTGGATTTTTAACTAAAAATTCGACTCTCATGACGCAGAAAGAAGACAATAAGAAACTGCACTCAGCTCTCAGATGTTGAACACTCCAGAAATAGATGAAGAGCTAAAACACATAAAGCATCAAAACCTTCACTAATCAAAGGCAAGTTAAAAATATCAGCTGTTATCCCTGGAAGATAACAGAGCTAAAGGACTTAAGTGACTCTAATGGACTAAGAAAAGCGAGACAAACACCCCGGCGGGAGCTGCATTACTTGTTACTTTGCAGAAATAAATCTGTGGGAATCAAAGTCAGGTGAAAAAATCTTGGCTTTTACTGGACTTTGGGGACAAGCAGATGATCCCCCGGGGTCCTTGGGAGCACAGCCTGGACTGGAGTCTCAGTTCCTGCCCCATAAGCCGGGTGGTTTGGGGGGTGACTCTCCCAGCCCTGTTATTTCCACACTCGGGGCTCCTCAGCACTTGCTGCCTCATTATGGAGTGCAGTGACAGGCTGTGCCTGCAGCGAGGACGTGACATATCTGATCTCCAGGGTGGTGAAGTGCCCCAGAAGCCAGGGTGGCTGTGCTAAATGTTCACCCTGCTGCTGCCTGCACAGCTCCGACACCGCGGGTCAGCCGAAATATCCCCCCCAGTCACTGCAGCCCAGCTGAGGGACAATTTTAAAAGCAGTCTTCTTTACAAGAAGGGTTTGTTACAGCACTGAATATGTTTGAGCTTGGTGATAACAGTGAGGCTGAAGCAGGACACAACCATTTCTGGGACATGCCTTGACTTCTCCCTAATTAATACACAAACCAGCACCAGCCCATCACACCTGATCATGAGGTGTCAGAGGCAGATTGGGGGCCCCTCTTCTGCAGCTCACACAAATGCACCTCCTCATCCAGCTTATCTTCTCTCCTGGTTTGGGAATTAATTCATCTTCCCAAGTAAGAAATCCCAAGCTGAGGGGTTTGGGGGCTCCTCATTCCCCCCAAACTCAGTCCCTGAGTGCCCCTCCCAGATCCACTCACCCTGCCAGCAGCTCGGGCAGGATCCACCCCGTGCTGGGAAGTCACCAGTGTGAGTTCCCCCCGGCTCCCCTCACACCACCAGAGCTATCACCTTTCATCTCCTCCCAGCAGAGCCATCCCCATTCCCTCAGTGACTCACAGCCCCAGCTCCCCCCTCTGCTGGCACGGGGGGCTCTGAGGGCACCACTGTGGGCGTCATCCCCCCCCTCCTGGCCCATGTCCATCCCTGCCCTTCCTCTCCCCACCTCCCTCCGAGCCAAAGTGCTCTACCACCCACCTCTGGAGAGCTGCAAATCCTCCCTGTCACTGTTCACCTCAGCTGACTTTTCTCAGAGAGGCTCACTACGGTTATGATTCATTTGGGCCACCACTTAAAATATTACTGCTCGCTTCCCTCCCTCTCTAAAAGACAATAAAGAAGAATTACTGGGTAAAACATGAAGTCTTAGTAGCACTTGGCTTTCAAATCAGAGGGATTCAAAGGGGAGGAAGGATAGTGAGCCCATATATTATAATATATTACCCAATTCCTCAAAAAAGTGATAACTGTTTCTTAAAAGCAACTGGAACTTCCCCAGCCCAGTCAGGCTGCTGTGAACCCACTCAGCTCTTAAGCATTAAACCAAGGGATTTTTATCTGCTTGTGAGCAGACATCTACAGCCACACAGCAACACCACATACACAGCCTGTGGATTTACCATCACCAGGAATTTACTGCTTGGAAGAGTCGAACTGGGCAGGACGAGGTGTGTGTCACCACCTGGGACCTCCACAGCTCCACAGACCTCCTGGAGCCTCAGTGAGGGCTCCCCAAAATGCCTTTGGAGCAGAGGAGTGAGGAAGAAAAGCAACAAATCGAGAATGCCCTGCATCCCTGCAGGGATTTTAACTCTTGGCTAAAACCACATCTCCAGCCAGGGTTTAAATCAAGTTTTCTGAAAGCACCCGAGAATTATTTGAGTCACATCCTCAGTGAAAGCCAGCAGTGGCTGAGATCAGTGCCAGCCATCCTGATTCACATCCTCTGGGAGAGAGACACATCCCTGGCACACAAGTTTCTAGCAGCAAGAACAGTGTCCAGGTACCACCTCGAGCTTGTGGCAATTATTAAAGAATAAATGAAAAATAACTCTTAAAAGGTTACTTTGGCTGCCCAGTGATCCTCAGGGAGGGAGTCCAGATGCACATGGGTACCAGAGTGACCCTCACCTGAACCCACAGACCATGTCCTGGGATCTGCAGGGAGGTGCAGGACCTTGTTCACCCAGGGTGTGGTTCAAGGAAAGACATTTCTGAAGGGCTGATCCCACCTCTGCT